CACATTTATTCAGAAGTAAAGTGTGCATTTCAAGGGAATGTAATCTCTGATCCAGATCCTCATGAGCTCAGAAGTAAACACTACAGATCTCAATGGCATGTAATTTCTGATCCATTTACTCAGAAGTAAAAGCTGTGGCTTTCGGTGGAATATATTCTCTGAGACATATTCTTATTTACTTAGAGGTAAGTGCTATAGATGTCAGTGGAAGATAATATTTGATCCATAGCTTCATTTGCTCAGAGGTAAAAGTTATGGATTTCAATGGAATGGAATCTCTAATCCATATCTGATCCAGGCTATTTGGCAGACTATCTCCCTCTATGAGCCGGCCAGGGCTCTAAGATCCTCGGAGGAGGCCCTTCTCTCCATCCCATCACCATCACAAGCACGGTTGGTGGGGACACGAGTGAAGAGGGCCTTTTCCATGGCTGCCCCTAGACGCTGGGACTCCCTTCCCAGGGAATAGGCCAGAATGGCCCCTTCCTTGATGGCCTTCCACCGACAGGTGAAAACCTTCCTTTTCAGATAGGCATTCAAAACAGAAAGCTTTTAAAAAATGGCCTGGGATGCTATATTGATTCAATGTATTATTTTTATATGTTTTTAATTGTATTTTTTTAATGTTGTAAGCCCTCTGAATCCCACTCCTGGGAGAAGGGTGGAATAATAATAATAATAATAATAATAATCTCATTTACTCAGAAGTAAAAGCTGTTGCTTTCATTCAGGGGTAGGCAACCTAAGGCCCAGGGGCCGGATGCGGCCCCCCAAGGCCTTTGGACTGGCCCCAAGCCGGTCCTGCCACCGCCGCTGCCACTGCCGCCCCCCACCATGATAATATTGATTATTGTTGTTATTACTTGTTCTTGGGGTTTTCTTTGCAAAATCTCCACAGGGGTTTTGCCATGGCTTTTCTGGGGCTGAGAGAGTGTGCATGCATATTTTTTTAATTTTTAATTTTATTTATTTATTTATTTATTTTTGGCGCTTCGGCCCCCCAATTGTCTGAGGGACAGCAACCCGGCCCCCGGCTTAAAAAGGTTGCCTACCCCTGCTTTCAGTGAAATATAATCTCTGATCCATATGGTCATTTGCTCAGAAGCAAATACTGTGGATGTCAATGCAATATAATCTCTGATCCATATCCTCACTTTGTTGTTGTTTTGTTAACTGCCCTCCAGTCGATCTAAACCCATGGCGACTCTATAGATGAGACATCTCCAAGACCCCCTGTCCTCTACTGCTCTGCTTAAATCCTGCAACCCCTTAATACCCATAGTGACCTCCTTAATAAAGTCCATCCATCTGGCATCTGGCCTTCCTCTCTTCCTATTTCCCTCCATCTTTCCGAGCATTATTGCCTTTTCCAAAGAGTCCTCCCTTCTCATGATGTGTCCAAAGTATGACAACCTCAGTTTGGTCATCTTGGCTTCCAGGGAGATTTCTGGTTTGATCTGCTCTAGGACCACTTGTTTGTCCTTTTGGCTGTCCATAGGATCTTCAGCACTCTTCTACAGCACAACATTCTCTCAAATGTGATTTTCTTCCTATCATCTTTCTTAACTGTCCAGCTCTCACATTCATACATGGTAATAGGGAATACGATGGCTTGTATGATTCTAACTTTTGTTTTGAGTTGTGTATCTTTGCATGTTAGAATCTTTTCTAGTTTTTTCAGAGCCACCCTCCCCATTCTTAATCCTCTTCTGATTTTCTCACTGCAGTCCCCATTTCTATCAATGTTTGATCCTCACTTACTCATAAGTAAATGCTACAGATTTCAGTGGAATATCATTTCTGATCCATATTCCGCATTTGCTCAGAAGTAAAAGCTATGGATTTCAACAGAATGTAATCCCTGATCCATAGCCTCACTTACTCAGAAGTAAATGCTGTAGACTTCAGTAGAACATATGATCTGCTCCATTTGCTGAGAAGTAAAAGCTATGGATTTCAATGGAGTATAATCTCTGATCCATAGCCTCATTTGCTCAGAAGTAAATGCTGTAGATTTCAATGGAAGGCAATCTGATCCATGTCTCATTTACTCAGAAGTAATTCCTGTGCATTTCAATGCAATAAGATCTCTGATCCATATCCTGTTGGGATTACAGGGACTAAAGCAATAAGCATCTAGTCTAGTGCTAGGACCATTGAGGAATCAAATCAATGTCCTTTAAATCATCAGTGGCTTGCAAACCACACTGGAGGTAGACAGGTAGGTATTTTATCCTGGGTGTGAGAAATACAAGAGCACCGCATGAACCCCAACATCATCTGATTTATGATATGAAATACATTTTTCCCCTTTCCTTTTCTTTTTTTACATGTACGTTTCCTGAATATTCAATTGTCAGTGCCTGTTTGCTGTGAGCGCAGGAGCTGGTTCTGTCAAATCGTTTCTTCCAACAAGCAATGGCTGGATTTTCAAAGTGGAATGGATAGAGATAAGAGAAATCTAAGAAAGACAGCAGGAACGAAGAGAAAGAGAAAGAGAAAGAGAGAGAGAGAGAAAGGGAAGGAAGGAAGGAAGGAAGGAAGGAAGGAAGGAAGGAAGGAAGGAAGGAAGGAAGGAGCTAATTCATTTTATTTTAATGTGTCACATTTTAATCTACAAATATCGTTTTCTTGGTGGCAAATGTGTTATCATTCTGACTCTCCAGAAAGGTATACTTTCTAATAATATATATGCACGTGTATATTTATATGTAAATAATATATGCATGTGTATATTTATATAAGGAAGGGTCAGTGTATGGGGGTATACACAAACACACATATATAAACCTATGTGTACATATTGCAAACGTAAATAAATCTAGAATTGTAGTAGGAGGGGAGGGGAGGAAAGCATAAAGAAATAAGCTTCAGAAATTTATTTCTGATGCACCCAGATAATTCCAACCAGAAATCCTCATTACCAAAGACTTCCTTAAGCTCATTTTCATAAAATATGGTAATAGCCATGTGACTTTTTGTTACTGTTGTTAAACAAAATAACAGGATTATTGCAGATTTAGTTTGCTGTCATTTTCATTCCTTTACTAGCTCCCTTTCTTTAAGCAGTTATCTTAATTATAACAGGATATGGCATTCTCCCTCCCTTCTAGAATTTAAACCTAGGAAAAATAACCCTATTTCAAACAATAATGATTTTCTACTAACATAAATAATTCAGTTACGTGCTTTGAATGTTTTTTTTAAAAAAAGAAACAAAGCCTTCAGAGCAATGACAGAAGACTTAGAAATACACGATAAGCTGCTTTCTAACCATTTTATAATACATACAATCCTGCAAGGATCTGTAGTAAACATATTTTGTAACCTATATTTGAAATATATAATAATATCATGGTAAAGAAAAGCAGATTCATCCAAATTAGGAACAAACTTGTTTTGCATGATAATGTCTCCTTTTTTTAGCTTTACTGGGAGGCAAAATTGTGCAAATGGATAAAAATAAATATAAGGGGAATGGGTTTTTTAAAGGGAGGTGGGGCGATAAAAAATTTAAATTCACATTTCATTGTATGTGTCTTAAATTACATAAAATCAGTAAGGCGAATTTAATTTTTAGAGTCTTTTTTCCCATTACTTTGCTAGACATCATCAAATCTGTCAGGTCCATATCAGATCTATTTGTGTTTATTCATAAATCTGTTCTGTCTCATTTCCACACTAATCCGTGAATGCTTAATATTTTAGCTCTGTGTGATAATTATTTTGGAATGCATTCTTTTCACAAAATGTATATTTTTGCACACATTTTCCTTAAGATACAAAAACAATTGTATCTCTATCTCTATCTCTCTCTATTAGGATCATAAATGTAGAGAAAGTGTATGAAATGAAAGATAAATGTTCTGATCCACCATTAGAGTTGCTCCTGAAACTGGTTCATCTACTGTACAGTTTTGGCCACGGTAGATCACAACTAAGCATCCCAAAATTAATCTAAAATGTGTACTACATTTCAAATATCCATTAAGGAAACAGCTCCCTTTCTCTTGGGCTGTATAAAACCAGGAAGGTAAGATGTTCCTTCAAAGGCCAGCTGGTTTTCGGCAGAAACAATGATGTTGTTATTACTGTGTAGTGAGTCATCTTGACAAGGTAGCTCTCTTTTAATATACCATCAGCAGAAGACAACAATTCTCTGGTTCACAAGGGAGGTGGATTTTCTCATGGCAAGGTTGCTGTTTGTACGATTGAAAAGACTACTGAGAAATGCAAATATGCATTATTTAACTCTGTCAAATGCTTGGTTTCATTGTAAGGGCTTGAAGGCATTCCTAGAGAGAAAGAGAAGACCAGAGAGTTGAGGAAGAGAAGGTAGGATGACAGAAATCAGTCCAAACTGCCTACCAATGGATTGGATCCTGACATTGTTTTACCATAAAATTTTCCATTTTCCAGCTCAGGGAAAAAGCACACCTGAAGTCTCACTTATT